ACATGCGATGCAGTGTAGGTGAGTTTATTTTTATAGACTACCGGGAAAAATGTCAAAAATAATTATGAAGATGGTGACATGTTGTATTATTTTTTTTTTTAAATAGAGCAACTAATTTAATTTAGTTTAAAATCAATCTCCATTTAAAATATTGTAACTTATTTCTGGGTCTTCATACAAAAAAATATATAAAAAAATTATTAAAAAAAAAATTAAAAAAAATATATCAGTAAAAAAAGAATGTTAAAAGCACTGAAAAAAATGGTTAAAATTTAGTTAAGAAGGTTCAGAAATACAAAATTTTAAATTTGATGATATTTTAAAAAATAGCAATTAAAAGATTTAATATAATTTGACATTAAAACTAAATTAAAATAAATGTTTATGAATGAAATTAAAAAAACAAATCAACTAAGAAAATTATTCAGAACAAAACAAATATCAATTAAAAGAAAGATACCAAGTTGGATTAAAAAATAAAAAATAAAATAACTAAGGATAAAATTAAAATTAAAAATTTAATTATTAATAATCAATATAAAAAAATAATTATAAAAAAAAAGAGAGAGAAAAGAGATCAAACCGGCATGAGTTGATAATTTCTTCACTTTACATGTTCTTGCGAGTTAATTTAATGGGATATGGTTTGAATTTATAGCATAAAAATAAATTTATTTACTCCAATTTAGTGAAGAGTACATTCTGGACGATATATTCTCCATTGACTTCTTTTCTGACCCCATTAGTTTTAGAAAATTTTGGACCATATATTTTTTAATTTTTTTAATGAAAAATTGATTATTTTTTATTCAAATTAATTATTTTTGTGTATTTTTAAATTTTTGAGTCCCTGCATAAAAAAAATACAAAAAATTATTAAATCAAAAAAATTAAAAAAAATTAAAAACAAATATATCAAAAAAAATATATCAATAAAAAGAGAATGTTAAAGAGCCCAAAAAAATAGTTAAAATTTGGTTGAGGAGGTTCAGAAATATAAAAATTAAAATTTGATAATATTTTTAAAAATAACAATTAAAATATTTAATATAAATTTGACATTAAAACTAAATGAAATTAAATATTTATGAATGAAATTAAAAAAACAAATCAACCAAGCAAATTATTCAAAACAAAACAAATATCAATTAAAAGAAAGATACCAAATTTGATTAAAAAATAAAAAAAAATCAAATAACTAAGGATGAAATTAAAAATAAAAATTTAATTATAAATAATCAATATAAAAAAATAATTATAAAAAAAAAGAGAGAAAATGGATCAAACCGGTATGAGTTGATGGTTTCTTCACTCTACATGTTCCTATGAGTTAATTTAATGAGATATGGTTTAAATTTATAGCATAAAGATAAATTTATTTACTTTAATTTAGTGAAGAGTGCATTTTGGACCACATATTCTCCATTGACTTCTTTTCTGTCCCATTAGTTTTAGAAAATTTTGAACCATATATTTTTTAACTTTTTTTAATGAAAATTTGATTTTTTTTATTTAAATTAATTATTTTTGTATATTTTTAGATAGTAATGGTGTAAAAAATAAATTACAAAAATATTATTTTGATATATTTTTCAGTGAAAAATACTTTAAAAAATAACCGCTACCACATTCTCAAACACTCTTTTATTTGGGGGATAGTGACCATATGAGGCTGCGATACAATATGTTTTTCATGAAAATTTAAGGTGTTTTGCTTTAAATTATTTTTTATTGTTTTTAGATTGTTTTGGTATAAAAAATAAATTTAAAAAATAAAAATAAAAATATTATTTTAATATATTTCTAATTAAAAATACTTTAAAAAATAATTTTATTATGAAATACCTTTTTTATTTTCGCTTGATAACTAACACACTACTGAGTCAATGAGAGAGGAAAGACAATTTATTGAACCCCAATTAGCTTTAGGTCAACATAATGGAAGCTTAAACATATTCTGGCTCAGAAAATATCACAGAATTTCTAATTTGAGAGTATCATTTCCTAATCAATGTCTCAAAATCACTGATGACTGCACATTGTATTGAAAAGAGAAACGACAATTATTAAAAGTTATATGTGAAAGCCGCAAAAAATGTCAAAAGACATTTGCAATGTGCAAGGAAAAGCTGCCCTCCTTGTTCTCACCTGCATGGAGAGATAGTTCCAGTTGTTTTAATTAATCTGGTTAAGTTGACACTTTGTAGGCAGGTTGAAACGACAATATTTTTGGTCTGTTTTATTCTTGTAAGAACCCATCCACATTAAGAAGTTTGGAATTTGTGTTGCTGTCGACGTGAGATTGTCTAAATTGAAGGCACAAGTTTCTCAATTTCAGTAGTTTAAACACATATACAGTCTTAAATTGCGTCATAAACTAGATGAGTTGACCTTAAAAATAGTTGTATCCCTTAATGGAAGGACTTTTTTGTGAGTTGCTGCTTAAACAATGACATCTGGAGCTCGTTTTCCATGTCCCTTTGCCTCTGCAATACATTGCACTGTTTATTTCTCTTTAAAATGATTGCTTGGTTTTTGGATTGGACGCTATCGGCCCTGCTGAGTGGCAGGGCTCAAAATTATTGAGTTTTGCTGTATCAGGACCCAACTCAATTGAATTCTTGTGCAGAAAGGTTCAATACTATTGAACCTTGCTAGTCAACACAACCCAACTCTATATTGGAGCCCAATTCTAAGGGGTCATGCTGTCAGCAGGCCTAATGCTAGTTTCTTGGTGGGCGTCGCTCAACTTTATTTAACGTTGCTGGGTGGCAGAGTCCAACTCTATCGGCTCCGGGTTACAACATGCCCATTAGGTTATTCAAGCCTAAATATGGAAAAATAAATCAAATGCCAATCAAAAGATAAGCTAGAAATTAACAGCCTTAGTTTTTAAAGGAGCAGAGCAAAAACTGCAACAATAAGCTATTAAAAAAAGAAGAAGCAGAGCAGCATCCACGTAACTGCAAAAACTGAAAAGCTCATTGATGATATTTTTATTAAGATTTTTTTAAAAAAAAATACATTGTTATACCTCTTTATATTTCTCTATATCTATGTATTATGCTTAAGATTACAAGTTTATTTATATGCTTTAAATCCTAAATAATTAAGGAATTAAACTACTTAAAAAAATCATAATCTTATAAGGAATATAATATTTTATTAAACAATAAATCTAATAAACTAATATATTGCAAATCCTTTTTTATTAAGGATTTCTATATTAACTCGGAATTATTTTTTAGCGTGATATTTAAATATATAGGAATTTTTTTGAAAAAAGTAATCCGTTTTTATTATGGGGTTTAGAATCCTAATCTTGTTGGGATTTTATAATTGGGAAAAATAAGAAATCCCCGCATAATTAAGGATTCCTATTCCTAAATGGGAAAGGAAACACTTGCTTGCAATATTTCATGTCTGTCTCTCTCTATATATATAAGCTTTAGCTATACATCGAAAGCACTTAAATATATCTCAGCCCCTCCCTCCCTCAACTCAATCTGAGCTCCAGTTTCTGTAACCGAATTGGACGATTGAATGATAATGACGACGACTTTGCACGAAGGTGTTCGTGATCAAAAGAGATGTTGGTCTGATCTTCCTGGAGATATGGTAGCGTTGATTATTTCTCGTCTTCGTGCACCAGATTGCTACTGTTTTGTTGCTGTTTGCAAGAGCTGGAGTTCGATTCCCCTCCCAAAATTCAAGAAAGAATTTCCAACACTGGTTTATTTAAAGTCTGATGGTCAATTAATTAATTTCTTCAGCCCCTTACTCTGCTGCTCTACACCCGAAATAGCTAACTCCGTGTATAAGAATATTATTACTTCTGATAATACAAAATTCAGCTCCGGTATTGAAGACAATGAGCGTGATCAGTGTTGCCAGAAAGTGGAGTCCGATCGCAACCAGTGCCATGAACCAAAAACAATTCGCTTTGCAAAGCACGGGTGGTTGCTTGTCTCTCAGGGAAAACATGTTCTGTTTTTCCTCAATCCTATAACAAATCAAAGGATTGATCTTCCCGAGTTACCTCGAAGTGAATTTTTTTTTGATGGATTTTCCTTTTCAGAATCTCCAACATCGCCTAATTGCAGAGTCCTGGCCATCCATGTTCAAACCTATTGGGTATACCCTACCTTCATTCGTCGCGGCGAGGACAGTTGGACTTCGGATCCAATTCACATGGAATCAGGCTTCGTTCCATCTTATGGTAGCCCAGTCTTTCACGAGGGATGTTTTTATTTTTTAGGACAGAATGGATGTCTGGCTGTTTTTGATCCAAAAATAGACGATGAAGAGGAAGAAGAAGAAGAAGATGATGATGATGATGATGATGAGGAGGAGGAGGAAGAAGAGGAGGAGGAGGAGGAGGAGGAGGAGTTGGATAAGTGGGCTGTGCTTGATAATCCTGGAAATCCATGTACTGGTAGTCCCATAAGCAATTGCTATCTAGTTGATTGTGATGGAGAGCTAATGTCAGTTTTTGTGGGTTACATGGGACAATGGGTTAGAGTTTACATGCTTGAACCTTCAAGTATGGTTTGGAAGGAAACAAAAGACTTGGGTGATCGCGTGCTTTTTTTGAGCCAAATCGGATCAGGGCTGAAAAAGACAAAAGACCTGCAAGTTCCAGGCTTGGAAAACAGAATTTATTTTCCTAGGTTCAACAAGAAGGATGGCACTTGTGCATTCTATGATCTTTCGGCAGGTAAATTTCACACTTCTTGCAACAATCATGGCAGAGAAGATTATTATGGTACCACAACTTTTTCGGATTGTGCATGGATTGAACCCAGTTATCGCATGCTCACTGACCAAGAGCTCGACTGGCTACATAAGGAGGCATCATGATGTTATCATTGGAGATGGCTCGGGCGTGACACTAAAGCATTGATAATGAAGAAAAATGTACAGCGAATCTGCAAGCACAGATAATAAAGTACATCAGGCTACATTTTATCCAGCAACAGTATCAAAGCACAAGTACACACCAACAAATAAGCAATATTGTTTCAAAATCAAGACATACGAAACACTTCCATGGAGAATCAAAACTTATGTTGCTAGCAGCACTAGCATGGTTCAAATCATGGCCTACAAAGGGGGTATAACTCGCAAAAAATTAAGTTGTCTTTGCTCCGGGAGAGCTTATGGTCATCCAGAGTTTCCCATGCAGCAAGTAGAACAGACAACATACAATTATTGCTTCTTCTCTTCTGCCTTCCTTGGCCGTGAGGAAAAAAAAACAGAGAATTATAAAAATGTAAAATAGAGGGAGGTGGTAACATGTAAATATGCAAAAGAAAGCATGGATCACGGAAAACTAGGAGAAAGGAGTGCAGAAAGAAGATGCAATCTCATTGTCACCTCATTACCAAGTGTAAGAGCATCTCCAACGGGAGATGCGTTTTAGAAGAGCAATATTGATAATATGACTTTTTAAATAGTGTAGATATAGTTTTTTTATTGATGTGTATTTCAATGGTAAGAAACTATTTAGAAGAGCCAATTATATTTTAATATATTTGATATATAATTATTTTAACATAGTTTATTAATATTTATAAAAATAAGAAATTAATATCTTTTTAAGAGCATCTCTAATAAAAAAATATTATATTGAAGAGCCAAATAAAAAAAAATAGCTTTTTAAATAGTAAGCATAAAAAGAAGCTCAAGTTGGTAAGAAAGTTGGTAAAAAAGCTTGAAAAATTTGAATCCATCTACATTAAAAAAAAACTCAAGTTAAAACTTTACAAGAGAGTATAAAAGAAGTTTGCATTCAATGTCTAATAATTTTGTAGTTTTCATACATGCGAATTAATAATAAGCATTGCCTCCTACTTGTTTTAATATAATAATTTGACTATTTTTTGAAACTAAAATAGAATCGATATATTAGTTTAATTGCATTTTCAAAAAGACAAAATATAATTGACCTCAAATTAAGACATACAATCAAAAATAAATTTTAAATATGTAACTCAATCTTTTTATCAATATCAACTACCATTATTAATTCCTCTCAATTTTATCAAAGATAACAACATAAATATAAATTGTCTTCCTTAATCCATATTAAAAACATAAAAAAAAAAAGAAATAAAACTCATCACAAATATTAAATTAACAACAAAAGGTCTAAAAAATCAAGAGATATAAAAAAAATAAAAAACTTTTAAACAAGCATACCTTTTAATTTCAGCTAATTAACACAACCGATGTTAATAATTAACCGGAGAATAATTGATTCTTGTTTTTTTATAAAAAAATTTGAGAGAAGGATGAGGCACAATACAAAAATTTAAAACTACAAATTTTTTCTTCATGTATTTATAAAAGATTTTTTTTATATTTTAAAAAAAAAATTATTGACCAACGGCTATAAAAATAGCCGTTGGCCAATGACTATTGTTTTAGCCATTTCTACAGTTAAATATAGAAATAGCTCTTAACAAAACAAATAGCTAAAATAGCTATTTGTTTAGCTTATCCATTATAACATGAATAAAAACAAATAAATAAAAAAAATAGTTTTAGCTTTCCATATAGCCCGTACGTTGGAGCTGCTACAAGGGGAACGGAACAAGTGGGCAGTAAGAAAAGGCATTGCTTCGTGAATGACGCCCTTAAGCACCAACTCCTATTTCTGTCATTTCACAACCTCCTGCCTCATCTTTTTCTTGATAAGCAACCTTTTCTCATAAGGAACAAGATTCAAACTGGATGATTAGAAGGCAATTCACACCACTAATTGACTGCCTAACTTCAATGAAAGCATGAGTTATTGGAGCCTCTTTTTTAATGCAATTAAACTTGGCCAATGAAGTGGGCTGGCTCCGCTCCTTTTCCTTTCCTTTTCTTTCTTTGTTTTATAATCTTATGAATTAAGCAGTTTTATTAATAATATTAAAAGACTTAAAGAATACAGATGATTGGCAAACACCCAATCAGTCAAAAACCCCATAACTGAACTGACTTAATATGGTAAAAACACCCACCCCAACCAAGACAGAACTTGTCAGCACCTAAAAAGCACAGAACCTTTAAAACAGGCTCTCTAAGAGAGCTCGTGAAATCACTTGAAGCAAACTCAACATCTACAGCCAAGCTAATGCATTAGTCACTCTTAACAACTCATGCCAGATGAGAAATTTGGAGAAACACACACACCAGGCTGTTAGCACATACACAGATAGGAGGAGACATTAATTCAGTAGCAGCGTTGTCACACAGATAGAAGGAGACATTAATTCAGTAGCAGCGTTTAGGTAAATCTTCCCATAAAAGACTCTAGCATATGCCGCGTTTAGCCTTATAGCAGCAGCAGCAGAAGACGAAACACACAATTCAACGAGAATTTTTGGCACTGTTAAATGTCACAATCCTCATCATCTAGATGCATCCACGCTGACACAAAAGACGCAAAAGGCCAGTACCTGTTATCTTTTCGAACACGCATTTGTGATTCACAATGTGCCTTCTTATCCTGGAAAATCCTTAATACTATCGTCCATATATCATGTATCACAGGTCCATCACTCCTTTCTTCCAATTCAACCAGTGACCCAAAATTAAGAGTGATACTTTTGGTTCCTCAACAATTTGAGACATCATCAGTGATTCATTCCATTTACAAAATAAGTTATGATAAACTACAGAATAATTGTGATACTTCCCGCTACCCAAATGAAAACTACAGAATAATGGAGTAACAGAAAAACTCACCACCAGTTCGACAAAATGTCCAAACGAGAGCAAAAACACTACAAACTAAAAACAAATACAACCAGCAAGCACTAACCTTAGTACCGGGAGCAAACTGGTGGAACTCTTCTTCAGGGATAATAACAGGCCACTTCTCTCCAGCCTCACGAAACATTTGCTCGGTTTCAAGAAGCTGACCCTTTTCCAAAATCATGGTCCTAATGGCCTGTGCAGGAGTAGAAGTGGCATCGAAAGCTTCCACGACGCCGTTGACGAAAGTGACAGTGATCTGTGGTGGGAAATCGTCGGTGCAGCGCTTGACAAGAACCTGGCAAGCAGGGTTGGATTCTTTGGCCTTGCGGGGATTGCATTGAGCTAAGAACTCCATACATGAGGCTACGCGTGGGTCTAGTGCGTTGAATTCAATTTTTGCCTTTGAGAGGAACTTCAACATTTTTTGTCTTCTTTCTATATCTTTCGGAAATCAGCCAAATCTGTGAAGGTTGCCTGTTGGGGTTGAAAGGGACAAGCTGAAACCCAGCGCCGGCGGTATCTGTATTTGCACTCGCTCAGTGTTTCAAAACCACGCCACTCCACGCCATTTTAATGTATGCTAGCATATTGATCCTGGCTTCCTAATTTAATAAGACAACGATCATCAGGTTTCATCTTATACCGTTTTTTTATTTATTAAAATGATATTATTTTAATTTTTTTATATAAAATAAAACATTTGAAATTATAACTTTTTAGTTGGTATTTTTTAAAAAAATAATTCAAGAAACAAATCAACTCTTAAATTTACGGAATTCGAGATTTAAGTTGCATCCCACATTACTATAGTAGTATGTGATTCGAAAATTTGTGGGAAGCATCGATTTTAGATTTTAGATTAATACATCACCAAGAGATTTCTCACCTTTTCACATAATAGACGTATTTCACTGTATTATTGCTGTCAAAGAGCATATTTACTAGTTAAATCAATAACAATTTTTTAAGAAATATAAAAGGTATAAAGAATATATTAACTATGATGAGCCTGGCAGCAATTCAACTCTATTAGGTCCAGTTAGTACCAAGACCCAATGTTATTGGACTTTGTTAGGCAGCAAGTCCAAAACTACTGGGTTGTGCTGAATCCTGGTGGGTGGCCAGGTGAAGAGGATAAAAAAATTCAGCCATCTCAACTTTATTGAGTTGTAGTGTCAACTGGCCCAATGTTAATGGGCTCACTGGATGGCTGGCCTAACTCTATTGGGCTTTGTTCAGAGAAGTTGAAAAGGTTGGATCTTTCGTCTTTTTATACTGCTGAGAGGGAATTGTATTTGGAGCTTGATTGTCCTAATCTAGTTTGGTTGGGCATTGATTGCTTTGAGATGGGGCAGTTTTGTGTTAAGAATCTGTCTTCATTGATTGAACTCCGTACTTCTATTGTGCATAAATTGAAGTACTATGGACACTAGTTTAAAGTTGTGAAGCAACTTCATCGAATTGCACACATCAAGCATCTCGCGGTGCAAAAATTGTGGCGTAAGGTATGGCTCTGCACCTTTTGTGTATGTGTTCACGTTTGTATCTGTTTCATAGGTTGATTTCTGTCATTATAGTTTGGAAAATGTTACCAATTTCGGTAGGTTCTCTTCTCGTTATGTAAATGTCAAATGCTTCTGAAATCAGGGTTTGAATCGTCTTAGAGTGACTGTGGGAAAGTGCATTATCTAGAGGTGGAAGAAAGACTAAGAATAATGTTCCCTGGCTTGCTAAGAAATGTTGAGATAAGTCGGACTGGCAAAGTCTCTGGGTTACATTTGAGATTTTCATGAAATGTTTTGTTCATCATCCTTACGAGGTTTGTTTTCTGCTGGATAGATCATCTTAAAGGAGCTGATCAGCCGGAATGGCTATGTGACATTTTTGTCAGTAAAATTTCCCTAGCAACTAAATGAACTCTAAGCTCACAAAATTGTAATCAATGCTCTGATATGTCCTTTAGGAAACCAGAGGTCGAGGACATGGTAACAGCTCAGTTCCATTCTATAATCCTTCTCTGCATTCATTATATTGCCTATCCATTTTTGAGGATCCATTTTGAGTACCAGAGATTCACTGTGTGGACTGTGAAGCCATTCATGTGGCCAGAATCTAGGAAATTATGTGGAATGTGTTTTGTATAATATGTTTGGCTATCAGATTCTTTCCACAAAGTAGTGAAAAGGGCTCTGCGTTGCCTGTTGAATACTTTTTTTAATCTATTAAATTCAAATCAACATGTATGTTTGGCAGTTTGTTTTGTTTGAAAACACTTCTTGAAAAAATTTGAATTTTTTTTATTTTGAATTAATATATTTTTAATATTTTCAAATCAATTATTTTAATATGCTGTTTTTAAAAATAATTTTTAAAAAATAAAAAAAACATTATTGACATACTTTTCTAAATAAAAAATACTTTAAAAAACAAATATAATTATACTTTAGAATTTAATTTCATTTTTAAATTAGTCACTAGCTCTGGTATTTGGTTGGTAACCTTAAGGTTTTGAAATTAACATCCAATTTCTAAATCTAGATTTTTTTTTATAGACTCCTCTGGTTTTTTATTATTCATAAAAAGTAGTGCTTCTACCGGCTAGTGTGTTAGAGATTTGAAGCATATATGGTACCCTAGTAAAGCAGGGTTAAATGACTTTCATGTTTGTATTCTGTTTGTGTTCAGGTTTCTATGATCATTTATCATCTCTTTTAAGAATTTTTATATGCATATTGATTTCTATATTTCTAAAGAAAACAATAGATGTGTAATATATTAGAAACTAGTTCAGGCTTTTTCATTAATGATCCTTGCAAACTATTATTATGTTATATATGCATATCATGAAACTAATCATACAGAACCTAATATTATAGGATGATTATGTCAAGATTAGGAGTTCTAATAGTCACGATGAGAGAGTTAAACTGCTATGAAGAAACCTAATTAGATTGGGCTCAAAAGCTTGTGCCTCTAGCACATTAAGATGCAAGTTCCCAAGTTTTCTTATATTGAATTTAGCAGCAAAGAAACTACATGTTAATAAGTAAATGTTATGATTTTAAACTAATACGCATGTTCTTCCCCACTAAAAGTAAGTTTTTAAGAACAGTCAGGTCAGGTGATGTTAATACTGTGTTATTCCTCTAGATATCCTCCATCACTTCAAAATAATAATCAACTAAATAATTATACAAACAAGAAGCTGTCACTTTTAATTTACGAGATTCAACTAAGAATTAACATGCATTTATTATTTGGTTTAAATAAAATAACAAGAAAACAACATCCATTATTTGTTAATAAAATTTGTTGCCTCAGTTGCCAAAAATGGCAACTCCCAGTTGATTATTACAAGAAGCAAAAAACTAGGCATTTAGGTCACTTCAACTTCATGCATTTGATTATTTGCCACGTGTTATTATACCATACATAAATAATGCACTGAAATTTGAAAAATATAATATCATTTTGCTAAAATTTAAATTAAGTGTTACCTGACATTTAGACTTGTTTAGGGAAGTGACTGCGATTCTATAGTTTTATATGAATTGGTTTTAAGTTGTGGTGTTGAAATTGATTTTTTTATATATAATTTTACTATTGTTTTTTTAATGTTTATTAGGAATAGATAACTTACCTGTCATTTTTTTTTTTCAAAAATCTTTTTTTTTTGTTTTAGCTTTCTTTCTATCCTCAATCATCTTGTTGCAATTATATTCTCGCTGAAGAACAAGTAAGACCTTGATGCTAACACGATTGCATTTAAAACATGACTTGTTTAGCACTATTTCAAGTCTTAATTGGTTTTCAAACATCTAACACAATTTAAATTTACTATTATGAAAATTAAATATTAAATTGAAAGTAATATTTAAATTTCTAAATAAGTACTTTCAATTTAATGTTGGGTGGCTTGTATTAGAAAATGAAATATTAAATTAAAAGTAATATTTTATTTTTATAATAATAAATTATATTTGTATTAGATGCTTGAAAATCAATCAAGATTTGAAATTGTGACAAATAAGTTATTTTTTAAATACGGTCATATTAGCATCCTAACCTTACTTATTGCTCAGCAGCAATTTAATTGCAACAGAGTGATTAAGAATAAAAGAATAAAAGCTGAAAATACAAAAAAAAATCACTTTGTAAAAGAAAAAAATAGATAAGTTATTTATCTATCCTAATAAACATTAAAAAATCAACTTAAATATTAAGAAAACAATAATAACATAAAAAGATTAACTTAAATACAATCGAATCACAATTCAACCAATTCATATAGATAGCATGTGATTTAATTTTTAATAAAATGATATCACATTACCAGGTAAATAATTGAAATATAGGAAAATAAAACGCAGAACTAAACACTACCCAGAAGAGGAAAAGAAACTCAATAAATAAATCTAAGCCTAAATAGGTTAAACAGAGAGTAGATACGGAAAACCAAATAGGTTAAAAACATTTTAATTTTTAAAAAGCAATTATAATGAATTAAAAAAATATTTTTTATTTTAAATTAGTATTTTAAATTTATTTTAATATGTTAATATAAAAAATAATTTTTAAAAATAAAAAAATTAATTATTTTTATAAAAAACAAATATTATGAAAACCAACTCTTATTACACTCTAAAGTTGGTGCAGAAACGCAGCCTAAACTGTGTTTTTAAAAATTTTAAAAAATATTTATTTATTTATTTAAAATTTAAAAAATTATATTTTTAAATGATTTTAATATATTGATTTTAAAAATATATTTTTAAATCCTTCTTTATACTGATTTATCATTTAAATTTCTTTTTTTCTTTTATAAAACATTTTTCTTTTTGCTTTTATGCCAATTATATTTACTAGTTCGATGTTTGTGCTACACAATAGGTTTATTTTTTATTTCATAAAAATTACTATAAAAATTATAATATAAAAAATATTTTTTTAATATTAATAATAATTGTTTTCCAAATTTATGAATTATTCTATTAATAATATAATAATATTTTTTTATATCAATACTTTGAATTATAATAAAAATAATAATATTTTATAACAACCTAAGCTTGGAGCATCTACATCCATATTAGGGTTGAGGTTAGACACATCCACGCACAAGCCCACGAGAGGCTAAGAGGTGTCCACCCCAACCCTAAGGTGGGCTTGGAGCCATCCATACCTGTCCCCAATGCACACCCACGTCCATCCTCAACTTGGATGAAAAATGTCCATGCTAGCCCAAAGGTAAGTTGGGATGCATCCACCTCAACCTCAAGGAGGACGACAAGCTTCTATACCCAGCTACAAGATGAGTTTGGACAAGTCCACACTCATCTCCAACATAGGCGAGGAGCGTCCACATCAAACTTAAAGATGGGCTAGGACACGTCCACCCCAACTTTGAGGTGAGCTTGGAAGTATTTACACCCAATCCCAACATAGACAACAAGCGTCGAAGCCCAACCTTAAGGTGAGCGTGGACGTATTCACTCTCAATTCTAGGATTGACCTAGAAGTGTCCACACCTAACCTCAGCCCACCTTGAGGTTGAGTGTTGACTCTCCTCGCTCATCTTCGGGTTAGGCATGAACTTTACAGCCCTAACTTGGTTTGGGGTTAGGCGTGGAAAGGTCGACACCCAACTGCAAAATAGGCGTGAATTTCTTTGAGTCTAATTTCGGGTTGAGCATGGATTCTCCATACCCAACTTAGGTTTGAGCTTGGACGTGTCCAACCCCACTTGAAGTTAGATGTAAACTCGCTTAGATTTTTAATAATAATAAAAATAAAAATAATTATAACATAAATAATATTTTTTATCATTAAGTATTTTCATAACAAATGACTAAGGAACAAGCACAACTATAACAGTGACATTTTAGCTTAATTTTTTAGTTATATGCACAATGCCATGAACACTCTTTAAATTCTACCAGTCATGTAATCCCGCTCTCAACAGGAATAAAAAACATTTTAGACCGAATAAAAAACCATATAATATTAGTTTTTTTTTCTTTTTTTCATTTATAACTGCTCATACGGTAGAGCAGCAAAGCATGCGCCGAAATACACAATCAGTGAATTATAGATCAACAAGAGTACAAACCTTACTGCCAAAGTCTCGCACACCCTATCCCAGAAGTTCATGATACCAGAACCAGTCAAAACACCGGAGCCACCTTCCCTTAGGATAGATAAAATCAAAAGCCCATATGGAATGAACATGGAGTTTATGAAGTGTAAATTTCAACTGGCATTGCCGAATAGTGGGCAAGAAAGGTGAGATCTTGCGTAAGTGTAGGTATTTTTACCTTAGTAACTAGTAATAATACATGCCAAGGAGTTTTTGATGGAATTTCCGTACACCAGGATAACATCATTTTCAATTGATTTCAGTTTTTATTAAAAAAATAATCAAGTTAAAATTAAAAAATTTTGGTTTGATTTAATTTTTTAATTTAACTTATTTTTGGATTTGGTTTTTTTGTTTCAATCTTATAAAACCAAACCAAAATGATCAGGTTTATATTTAAATTATATATTAAAATTTTATTTAATAAATTTTATTTTTTTATTAAATTGATTTTTTAATATTATATTAAAACCTAAATAATTTAAGAGTTTAAATTTTAATATTTTTATTTAATTAATTAAAAATAAACATAAAATAGTATATACATATACAATTTAAAAACATACTTGAGAGAGCATGTTAAAGAATTATATCTCCACTGTTTAATAAATTTTTTAAATTATTTTTAATTGGAAAGTATTAAATTAATATTTTTTAAGTGTTTTTTTAATAATTTTTATTTCATAATATCAAAATCAAAAATTAAAAAACATTACTTTTTAAAACTAAAACAAAAATATATAAAAAAAATTAAAAAAAAAATCACGACAGCAAAAAGCCAAGAACTACAAAATTGTAAAGGATGCTGTAAGCTGCCGATTGTCCGGTCTTTTAAACCAATGGAACAGTTAACAGGAAGGATTGCGCAAGGTGGGTTTGCTGGACGGTCCAGCCTCCAAGTCATGATGGTATTTGTGTGCAGTGTTTTAAACCCAGCTTGGTCCCAGCTTGGTCCGGTGGATTGATCAGGGACCCAACCGATCCAAAGCTGGAACCAGACCGAGTTGATGAAAAAATAGGATAAGCCATAATCTGGCATGACCTGGCAGGCCTGATGAGTTGACCTGAAAACCCGAACGATT